CCCAGCCTCTAGACTGGATTCTTGAAGCTGTTATTTACTCATGATGAATAGAGTAAAGCCAGCCTTGGAGTATTGAAGAGGAGAGGAAAACTTCAGCAATTCCTTCCCTTTGTAGTGAAAGCTACAAAAACAAGAAGATGAAGAAAAAGATTTGATATGCTCCATTTGGGGCAAGATCCAGAAACCAAGAGCTTAACTGAACAATGTCAGGACTACTAAAGAAAGAGATGGGGGGAGGAGGGATGGGCAAAGGCAGAAAGGGAAAGGTAGGCATGGAGTCAGAGCAGTGAAGTGCCCTTCTGGGGCTCAGCAAGGTCATGGGGTCCTAACTGTGGTCATTGTGCCACCCAGGACACTGGTGGCTCATGCCCATAATCCTCAAGAGGCTGAGATCTTATGATGATGATTTGAAGCCAAACCAGGCAAGGAAGTCTATAAGAGTCGATACCAATTAATCATCAAAAAGCCTGTAGTAAAGCCATGGCTCAAGTGGTAGTAAAACACTAGCCTTGAGTGAAAAAGCTAAGATTCCAGACCCTGAGTTCAAGCTCCAGTACTGGCATATGTGTATGCATGTGTACGCATGCGCGCGCACACACATACATACACACACACACACAGTCACACACAGTCACACACACAGTCACCTTCCCACACTTCACATAAACTGTTGGGAAGGAGTAAAGTTCACCAACACATATATTCAAATGCTTCACTCATTCCTTCCAGGTATTCCTATCTGACCTTCACTGTATCTTTCATCCTTAAAAGTTGGGCAGAGGGGTCTTCAGCTCGTTGCCCCCCTTCCTCACCACTCTAACCTCTGAAAACCAAACGTAAAATTAGTAACCAGGACCCTCCACAAAAGAGGGCAAAGGTCAGCCACAGAGAAATAAGGCAATCTCCAGAAAGGAAGTCTCTCCCACACTTAAATTTCCTCAGTAAGGCTCAATTTCCTGTCTACTATTTTGTCTCAGGATTTTTCTTGAAAACTATAGATATGTTTGTTCTCTGCCATCATAAAAAATGTGTAAGACGTAATAACTACTTCCCTAAAAGTGGAAATGACACAGAGCACAAATCAAAAAGCGTGAGAGAATGAAAAGGAGAGCTGGAAATCTTGTTTAATTTTTCAATCTTTTCAGTTTCAAAGATGACATTAAACTGTCAAGATTATTTTTAATGACTCAGTTTCTGACGTCACTAGAAATAACCAGGGATGCTGAAAGTTGTTTGTGACTTCTTGACTTGTTCTAGAGCATTCTTCAGAGGAAGAGATACTCTACAAAACTACCATCTGGGAAAGTATCCTTATAGGTGTTCACAAGACAGAAAAGAAAGGAGAGAAAGAAAGAGGGGGGGGGGGCGGAGGGGAGGGGAGGGGAGGGGAGGGGAGGGGAGGGGAGGGGAGGGGAGGGGAGGGGAGGGAAGGGGAGGGAAGAGAAGGGAAGGGAAGGGAAGGGAAGGGAGATGTCAGCTATAAGATCCCCAGTACCTTCCAGTGGCTCAAAGATGGACTAGAACACAGTAAAGAACCAGCCAACTACCTTCACAACAAAACTCTTGACAGAGAAGTTAGACCTTGAATAACTAAACTATTCTGCAGTATTCATTACCAGAGAAGTTAAGTAACTGTCTTGTGAAAAAGCAAACAGACTGGTGTACACTCAGTGGTAGAAAGCATGTCCAGCACTACCAAGAAAAAAAATAATAATTTACTGATAATTTTAAAAAAATAAGAAAAATAAAATAAGCCACTGGCTTTAAAACTGAGCGTAAAGTGCCAGCTCAGGCTGGCTAGCTTGATGATTAGAGTGCACCACAATCCCTCCTGTCTGTCAAATGAACCTGACTGCGAACCAGCCCTTACCAGTTTCATTTAGTCATTAATCCAAAAGGAACTTGGTGAGCCTTACCTGCCACATTCTGCTCCTGGAGCTAGAGGAAACAACAGTCAACCAATAAGGCAAATATTGCTCTAGGATCTTATATCCAGATTCTCAAAGTCACTATAATTCAGTGTTTTTTATAAGAGTCACTAAGCAGTAGTACCAGATAAGTATTAAAAAGAAAGAGAGAGGCTGGGTGCCAGTGGCTCATGCCTGTAATCCTATAATATTAGCTACTCAGGAGGTGGAGATCTGAGGATCACAGTTCAAAACCAGGCCAGGCAGAAAGTCTATGAGATACTTATCTCCAATAAACCACCAAAAAACTGGAAGTGGCACTGTGGCTCAGGTGGTAGAGTGCTAGCCTTGAGCTGAAGAGCTGAGGGACAATGCCCAGGCCCAGAGTTCAAGCCTCATGACCAACAGAGAGAGAGGGAGAAAGAGAAAGAGAGAGAGAGAGAGAGAGAGAGAGAGAGAGAATAATATAAAATATCAGAGTACAATCACACACAGGAAGTTCTACTTCATAAAATCTGCTTCAAGCCCAGGTACTGATGGCTCACACGTAATTCTAGCTACTCCAGAGGCTGCGATATGAGGATGAGGATCAAGTTTTGAAGCCATCTGGGGCAAGAAAAACCACAAGACTTTTATCTCTAATTAAACACTTGTGGCTCAAGTGGTAGCACACTAGCCTTAAGCCAAAAAGCTCAAGGATATTTCCCAGGCCTTGAGTTCAAGTTCTAGGACAGCAACTAAAAAAGAAAGAAAACAAAACCCTCTGCTTGAGCAGTACTGACAGATATTTGTGATCCGTGTGCGTGTGTGTGTGTGTGTGTGTGTGTGTGTGTGTGTGTGTGTGTGTGTGTGTACTGGAAGTTAGAAGGGATAAAATATTTTAGACTGTGGGTCGGTCATGCCAAGAGTTCAGAAGTCCCTGATAAAGGAAATCTTTCGTTCCAGCCCTGGCTGGAGCCCCTGGCTCTCCTCCTACCTGAGAACACTGCCCATAACTGAATCTCATTACTCTCTCCTCTGCCCTATGATGGCATTTTGGATATAAATCAAAGCGTAAGTTCTTTTCAGATAGTGTTCCCAATCTTTTTGTGTGGGATGCCTTATTCAGTCATCCTCTGTTGGCATGACTTACTTGCTGATTAAGAAAATACAGAGGCCAAAAAGCACTTTTAAGTAAGCATTGGTCCGAAGAGCTTACCCCTGCCACCTACACAGTGTTCACAGCACACAGGGTTGGTAGACTCTTGAAAGTGCCTGGTTTAATTGGGTAATTTAGTATTGCTGTGCCCTCACAGTGTGGTGGTTTCTGTTTGCTTTCCCGCTCATTCCATCTCCCTTGTTCCAATTAGTGCAAACTACTGGTTCTGAGCTTTGTGTTACGAGTTGGGATTTAGTTGTTCATTTGTGTGTGTGTGTGTTGTTACTGAGACTTGAAGTCAGGGCTCATGCTCTTGTTTGGCTTTTTCGGCTCAAGGTTGGTGCTCCACCATTGGGCCACACCCCGTCTTGTTGTGTTTTGTTTTGTGCCACCCCGGAGCTTGAACTCAGGGCCTGGCTCTGTCCCTGAGCTTTGTTGTTGTTCAAGGCTGGTGCTCTACTACCTGAGCCACAGCTCTACTTTTGGCTTGTTGGTACTTTACTGAAGAGTCTACTATCTAACAGACTTTCCTTCCAGGGTTGATCTCAGACTTCAGCATCCTGGGTAGCTAGGATTACAGGTGTGGCACCTGTACCCAGATGCTTTATTATAACTCTATTAAACCCCATGATCCCAGGCTCCTTCAGATTGCTACTAAGAATTCTGATGATAAGTGTGCAAAATTTGCATAGAAGCACCCCCCCACCCTGCCTGGGTTTTGACAGAAAAGGTCCCAGGCTAGTCAGGACTGTAACCAGAAGTGAAAGGACTTGAAGCAGAACTAAAACTTCCCTGGGACTCCCGAAACCCTGAAGTCGCATGAACCCCAAGGTTTTGAAACCTTCCCCAAGGTTTTCATGTGAAGCTTTAAGTCCCTCAGGAAGAGCTGCTCACATTAAGAAATCAGTACATTGTTGTCTTTTGGAGAGCTGGGCAAAAGGGAAGCCCAATGTTCTTTGCTATAAGAGAGATCTGTTGATGGCCACACAGATAAGAAAATTTTCAGCAAAGGACAAAGTTCCCAGCAATGCAGGGACTGCCTGAAGACACCAAGTCCTGCCACCTCAGCTTCTAGAGGACAGTTGTAACTGTTGGCCAACATTTTCTCTTCCCAATCTAGAATTAGAATGGTGCGTTAGTTAGCACACAGCCTGTCAACAAGTACACAGACCTCAAATACTTCGAACAAGGTTTCATGCTGCATCCTGTAGCACCTGTTTTCTAAATTGCCCATGTATTATGCTTACAAGGAACAAACTGTAACGTATTCTTCACTAATAGGAAAATAATTAACTTCTAGGAAAGCCTGTTGCTTCCTTGACACGTTTCAGAGGAGGTCATTTAGATGCCTCTCTCCCAGCGCTGGCTGTGAAGGAGGAGCTGGCCTGGACTCGGTCGATGGCAGCGGCTCCAGATTCCAGCTGTGCTAACAAACTCAGCTTCCATGCCCCTAATCTCACCACACAACACATGGAAGGGACACCTGCTTCCAAAGGTACAGCAATCCCAGGTTTCGTTCTTTAAATCATCCTTGCATAGTTATTTCTGTTTCTTCCTTAACAAAACCTAGAACGTCTGATCGGTGATTAAGGTGCTCAGTTATTAGCAAGACAAAACTCAAGGCAATCTTCACTTGTAACATAGGCAACTGGAAGTCCAGGCTTTTAGATTTCCCCTACTCTTGTCCAATATCTATCAGCTTAGTGCACTCAGACTGATCAGGAACAGTATTAGTCTAACTTCCCGTCTATAAACATTCTCAATACTGAAACAAGCCATCTCTCTCTCCATATCCTTTTTCTCCCCCCTCCCCTCCTTCCCTTCTGCATCCCCTTCTCTGCTTTGCATCTGTAAAAGCCTTAACTAGTTACAACACAAATCATTTTAAAATCAGGAAAACCCCCAAGTGACATCTAGGTCTTATTCCAGCAAGTCGTACACTATTTAATAGTTACCAGGTTTCTGGGTAGGTGATCCAGGCGGAGATGCATTGCCACTAGGAGACAAGTAGAGGTAGTTTTTGTTCACTCCCGTATCAAAGTCAAATGGGGACTGGTAGTCCTCGCTGAAGTCCAAGTCTCCACAGTCCATGCCAGGCAAAGGCAGGGCACATGGCTTTGCCACGGCCCGCAAGGACTCTTCAGTCGCCTGCCCCTGGGACCACGTTCTCTTTGCAACCTGTACCCTCACTAAGAAACCAGGTTTGGAGGCCCCGCCCCAGCTTCCGGGTGGAGGGGGGGGCAGGTGCAGTTTCCTCCAAGAGCTTCACATCCTATGGCAAGCAAGTCTTTCAATAAATGACAACCCAGAGCCCTCAGTTCACCACCTGTTGTTAATTTTAGTCAACAAGGAACAACCTTGGGCAGGGAGTGGCCCGTTCTTCAGTAAACAAAGGAGGGCCCAGCTCAGAGGGACAAATAGCTCAAGCTATCTGGCAAAATTACAGAAAAAACAAACAAAAAACTACCTGGTGTTTTTTTTCTTTAAACCAGTCAGCTGATCACAGCTACAGCAGCGGGGCAGACATAATCTTCTAGGACAAGGCAGGATTTGGGGGCAGTAATCTCCAGCAAATGCCATCTGGGTAATACTTTTTTCCACCCTGGATTACCATAGCTTGCTGAAACCTGAACTTCCTAGGTTAGCAACCAACTTTCTAAGCATAAATTGGTGGAAAAGAAAGCCACATTTTTCATCCTTACTCTGGAGAGGAGTCTATATTACTGTCATACAGTTTTCAATTCCATTTCTTTTCTCTTGTTTCTTTTTCTTTTTTGTGGGAGGATGCTGTCACAATTACATGAGACGAGGAAAGAATCAGCTTTGAAGGCACATCTCCCATGTGTTCCAGCACCTTCTCTGTTTAACCAAGGCCAGGGCCCTGCAGGTTCCATTATAGCCCTGATTCTGCTGGCCTGGCTCACCCTCTCACCTAGGGCCACGGCAGGCTTGCCAAACACCCAGTTCTCTTCTTTGGCACAAGTCTCTCCCCACACTCACAATGGTCCATGTCAGCACTTAAGGCCCCTGCTGGTTCAATACTGGGGGGTCATTCCTCTCCCACCCATGCCATTGGTGGCCTATAACAAATACAAAGACAATGGCCCAGTTTTCAAATCCCTGGAGGGAAAAATTGATGGACTCTCCTGAAGTGGAGAGTCAAATGAAGAAATGTGAAATCATTATTAGAAAGATCAGTGAACACCTACTGTATAAAATGTATAGGAACCAAGGTTGTATTCAAGTGAATACAAAATAAGTGAATCAACTTAAGATTCACTGTGTGTGTGTGTGTGTGTGTGTGTGTGTGTGTGTGTGTGTGCGCGCGCACATGCGTGCGCGCCAGAACTAGGGTTTAAACTCAGGATCAGGGTTTGAGCACTTTCCCATGGCTTTTTACACTCAAGGCTAATACTCTACCACTTGTGCCTTTTGCTGGCTAACTGGAAATAAGAGTCTCTCAGACTTTCCTGCCTTGGCTGGCTTTCGACTATGGTCCTCAGATCTGTCTCCTGTAGCTAGGATTACAGGCACTGAGTCACCAGGCAGGCCTGGATTACTTTTTTAACTAGTTTCATGCTGTGCTTTACTTATGGCATAATCTTCATCTTGTTTAAGGTTTTTTTTTCTTCAGGCTAGGAAGGTGGCTCAGTGGTAGAGCACTTGCCTTGCATGCCTGAGGCCCTGGGTTCGATTCCTCAGCACCACATGAGCAAAAAGAAAAATGGCGGAAATGGCACTGTGGCTCAAGTGGTAGAGCACTAGCCTTGAGCTGAAGAGCTGAGGGACAGCGCCCAGGCCCAGAGTTCAGGCCTCATGACCGGACCCCCACCCCCCAAAAAAAAAAAGATTTTTTTTTTTCTTGTTCATTTTGTGGTGTTTGAAATGGAACTCAGGGGGCTTCTGGCATGCTAAGCAGGTAGGTGCGCTACCACTTACAACAGCTCTTTGGTGTTTGTTTTGTTTTGTGGTGCTGGTCTAAGGCTTGAACTCAGGGCTTGGGCACTATCACTGAGCTTCTTTTTCAAAGCTAATTCTCTGCTATTTGAGCCATACCACCACTTCTGGCATTATTATTATTGTAGTTTTATTTATTTTAATTATTATTATTTATTTATTTTAATTATTATTATTGTAGTTTTGTTGGAAATTCAAGGCTCACAGACTTTCCTGCCTGGGCAGACTTCGAACTTCAATCCTCAGATCTCACCATCCTGAATAGCTAGGATTGCAGGTGTGAGCCACCAGCACCTGGCAAGCTCTTTTGGTTTTTGAGACAAAGTCTCCCTGACTTAGCTGGCCTCAAACTCTCAAATCTCTTGACTCTATCTCCCAAATGGCAGGGTCTAAGTGTGTACCATCATACCCAGCAACTTTACAAACTTATGTACATTTTAGAAGTGTTTATTTTTTAATAATGACAAAAAAATCAATGTATTTTTCCTCTTAAGGTAACTGTATTTGGGTAACCATAAAGGTTCATTTTTTTAAGTTTAGAAATAAATGGTTTCTTTTTGTTGTTGCTGTTATTTGAAAAAAATGAATGGTTGGGTTCCTGAAATCCATGATACCGATTGCTTGGGGGGGAGAGGGGATTTCATGGTTCATGGGGTCGTTAGCTTTGGCTACATCCCATATTTGGCCACTCAGTACTAGAAGAACAACCATTTCTCTACCACCTTACTGGTTCTTCTAAAGCCACAGGTATTAGAAGGTCATTAACCCTGACAGATACGCCGCAAGCCACAAACCACCTCAAAGTCACCAGCTCAACCCCACACCCTCTCCACCGCCAGCAGCAGCTCACAGATTTGAGGTGTCACCTGCCTGTACCCCTGCTCTCACTCTGTTATCTCTATCCTGCAGAAGACTGGCTTAGAAGCCCACGTAGAATGAAAAAGCCAAAAGTCCTATCTAAAAATTCAATGTTCTACCTGCTTAGATCCCAGGACTGTCAACTCAAATCCCAGCTTTGGAGCCAGTTCTTATCTGCATACCCAGTCAGACCGGAGGCTAGATAGTGGGAAAAGTAAAAACAGACAACCAGGTGTGGGAAAAGCATGGGTGGGTTCATGGAATGGAGGGAATTCAGCTGATTCAAAATTTACCAAAGTAGGAGGTTGAAAGAAATTAAAATTGGAAATGTAGCTTGGGAAGACACCATTAAAGACTTCGAGTGGCAAACTTGGACACCTAATATATAATGCAGGAAGGAAAAAGAGGATGAAGACGGGAGAGGGGAGAGTCAGGAGAAGCAATATAAAAGTAAATTGAGGGGCTGGGAAGGTGGCTCAGTGGTAGAGTGCCTGAAGCTCTGGGTTCAGCACCACATAAACAGAAAAAGCCAGAGGTGGCGCTGTGTCTCAAGTAGTAGAGCACTAGCCTTTAGCTGAAGAGGTGAGGGACAGCACCTAGGCCCAGAGTTCAGGCCCCACGACCAACCAAAAAAAAGTAAGTTGAGCCCAGCACCAGTGGTTCATGTCTATAATTCTAGATGCTCCTAGAAACTGAGATCTAAGGATCCCAATTGGAAAAAAGCCTGAGCAGAAAACTTATCTCTGATTAACTGCCAAAAAGACAAAAGTGAGCTGTGGCTCAAGTGGTAAAGTGCTGGCCTTGAGCAAAAATGCTCAGGGACAGCACCCAGACCCTGAGTTTGAGCCCCAGGACCAACACACACACACACACACACACACACACACACACACACACACACACACACACACACACACACACACACACACACACACACACACACACACACACACACACACACACACACACACACACACACACACACACACACACACACACACACACACACTGAGCTAGACACTTCTGGCTCATACCTGTAATCCTAGCTGCTAGGAAGCCTAAGATCTGAAGATCCAGCCAGCCTGGGCAGAAAACTCCGAAGGACTTTAATATCCAATTAACCACCAAAAAGCTAGAAATGGAGCTGTAGCTCAAATGGTAGAATGCCAGCCTTGAGTGAAAAAGCTAAAGGAAAATGCCTTAGCCTTTAGTTCAAACCCCAGTACCATCATATATATACATATATATATGAATACATCATATATATACATATATATATAAATTGTTGAGGTTGAGGGAAGAGTACTTGCCTAGCATGCAAGTTAGGCCTCACGTTCCAAGACCAATATATACATACAAGCATACAGACATGCATATATACATACATATATTACATACATTACAGTTAAGGATTTGTTTAAATAGTAAACAAAGCTGCCGCCTGTAATCCTAGCTAGGAGGCTGAGATCTAAGGATGGCAGTTCAAAGCCAGCCGGGACAGGACATTCCTGAAACTCTAATCTCCAATAAACCACCAAAAACCCAGAAGTGATACTGTAGCTCAAGTGATAAGAGTGCTAGCCTTGAGCTGAAGAGCTAAGGGACAGTGCTCAGGCTTAGAGTTCAAGCCCCAGGACCGACAAACAAAACAAAACAAAAAACCAAAGCTGGCTCCAGAACTAGTGCACAGATCCATTGTAGATGGACAGTGGCTAAAGGAGAGGATACTCAGAATGAGGATCCCAGATGATCCAGGAAGGAAGAAAGGGAGCCTCTGCACCTATTTCCTGGTTGTTAGTTGGCCCTAGGAAACCCCAGTAAAGAGTTGGTTCTGTGCTACTTGATGCTTAACACAAGGCCATGTTGAAAGGGGTGGATTGATCAAGATACATTGTATTCATAAACTACTTTGTTAAATAAGACAACTATTTAAAGATAATTTTTAAATTGTCAAAAAAAAATAACACTTCCAGTAAAAAACATAATGCTTCTATCTCTTTAAGTCTTACGTCCTGAGTTTTACAGTCCTGATGTCACAAGATCATACCCAAGAGCTATGCAAAGAGGACTGTTTACCCACAGACATCCACCCAACTGTCCCTGACCACATCTACTCAGTCCTGCTGCAGTGTTTCCCTAGAGACCTGGCTGACAGTGGGCATCAGTTGTCTTGTATGTTTATTAACTTTCCCTTGAGGAACTCCAGACCCCTTGCCCCATGGGTAGGGACAATTTTTGTCCCCACCCCATTACCCTGTTTCCTGGTCTTAGGTGTGGGCCTGTGCTTCCGATATTACCCATAAAGACCTCTATCCTCTTGTTCAGAGAGTCTGGCCTCAGGCTAGACATCTGGCAGAACCAGCCCCAGTCAGTGGCCTTCCCTGATATTTACTCTATGAGTAATGGAAGAAAGTGGCCTGTCCATAGCCTGAGCTGTCAGGTGCTGGCTACCCATGCCAACAGGCAAG